TTTATTATACGATTGGTTTATTTATAATAATTAGGTGTTCTGCGATAACTATATATGTACTCCTTGTAGAGTAGCGTAAGTAAGTAAATGCGAGTGTCTGGGTTGGTTGTGTGGATTATACGACCAAACACCAGAAGCTTATCGTAATCTCAGGTTTTGCCACACCACATTTTCTGATGGTTGCAAGTGCAATAATATTTGCCTGCAACAGAAATACTGAAATGCCAACTCAGTACAATCGATTGAACGTAAATTTTTGTGCAATATGTGAATGTTGTTGAGAATCTTTTATATGAAAAATAGTATGAATCCGACTACTGTATGTACGAAAATGATCATTCTTTTTCCTTTTATTTGCATTCACAATTCCTAAGGCATCTTCTCAGCTCATAAACTCCTCAAGCTCGCACCTTTTGATATTTGAATTCCTACTGTTTTGTATGCAATGCAACCAAGAACGGTCAACAAAACGATTGCAATCGTTTCTGTTTTATTTCTTCTGCTGATGCTGCTGTTTTCGCTTCGAGTTCATTTCGTTTGTAAATGGCCCGCATTAACATGGTTGTTCGATTTATTAAGTAACTTCAATTTGCGTTTCGATTACGCGTGTAACGCCTGTTTTTTATGCTGTTTTCCGTTTTTTCTTTTACTTCGTTTATAAGCAAGCCAATTGAGTTGGTGGCATTTATACGATTGTACATTAATACGAATGCTATGTAGGCATGTATGTTTGAATGCTTCTTGGCCAAAGGCTATGTGTGTTATAATTATAATTGCATTTTCTGGCGCTCCCCGAGTGGCCGAGTGTCTGGGAATTGCTCCTGCTCATGTTGGCTTAAGCATAGGCGTTGCTCACTAAATTGCCAATTCATTTAAATGAAAAATTGCTCAATTATAAATTGAAAGAAAATTGAGTTGTGATTATTAAAGCCAACAAACGATGATGATTAACAGCGAATAAATGGCGGGAATTAACAAATGAATACAAATGTTAGTCGTTTTTGTTCAAGTATTGCGATATGGTTTTAAGTGTATCAGCAATAAAAAGAAACGCCACAAATAAATGGATTTTGGTAAAGGAAGCGATGCACTAATTTACACATTTAAATATATTGCAAAGGTGGGTTTCATTACCCAACATTAATATTTCATTAATTTATTGGTTTAGTTGCAATGGGTTGGGAATTTAAAAGAAATGTTAAAATACTACAACGTACGGAAATTGACATTAATGACATTTGTTCCTAATTGAGTAGTTATACTTATTTCTTATCTTAATTTGTTCAATAACTAATTTTTTACGAAGAAATTGTAGTTTGAGGTAGAAAAGTAAATTAGAATCCCTACTAAAAACCTATCGAATATTGGACCTATTAACTTTCTTACTTTCATTATCGATGCTACATTGAAAGCATTTAAAGAAAAGGAAATAACCTTCGTTTAAAATCATAGATTGTACCTTGATTTTCAACAACAGACGAATTTTGAGTCTTTGTGAAATTGGTGGAATCAGAACCAGGTCGCAACGAAACGTAGAATGTTGTGTGGACCACGCAATTACATTTGATTAGGGACAACTAAGCACTATGATAATTGTTCCGTGTTCGTCAACCTCTTCCAGCTGCCATTTTGGTTGGTCTATTGTATCTTGACTGAAATAAGAATTTAAAATGTTCTATGAAATTCCATAACCGATGGAATACAACCTAGAACTGATTTACGGGTCCTTTATCCTTTGCTTAAATTAGTACAGATGGAATATGTTAAATCCAGAGGGAATATGTAGAACTAAAAGTAAAATACAACTTATCCAGAGAAGTCACCAAACTAAGAACTCATAGTACAACTATAAAGCTTTTGACAGGTATAGAATAATCCCCAGATATTACTTCTTCAGATAATTTAAGTGTCGAGCCATTTAATATCTGATCAGAAAGACTACATCTGATAAACGGCACAATAATGTATTTACGGATAGATTGTTCAATATAAAGCGCTTACTGCATTCTATCGTAGGTCATCACATGACAAGATCGTTATACGAATAGGCGATAATAAGTCTGCTAATCACACAGTTACTTTTAATAAAAAAGACCGATAACAGTTTTTACGTTTAAATTCTAACGCTTGTATTTATAAAAAAAATCTTATTTTGCTTTTAATGCACTCAATAGTTAAAGCACACTTTAGCCTTAAAAACCATTAATAAAATTGTGATATTCATAAACAAATAATAAACGTATATTAACTATGACAATATGGCTGTCATTTTATGTGTTAGTGTTGCGTACAATTAGGATAAAATATTCGTTGATTCGGTTTTCTTAATTTCATATTTTTGTTTATAATAGATTTTTGACAATAAAAACAAACTTTTAAGAAAAATAAATATATATATGGTTTTAATAAATGTCTATTTAGTTCAGATGTATAAATATAACATATAATTTCTGATTATTATTAAAAGTATCCGAATAACGGATATTTTGCGACAAAATATACATCACTATGACACATTTTCTTATTTTTACTTATTTTCCTTGTAATTTTTGATAAATTTTTGCAAATATTGATAAATTTCTTTGATATTTGACTAATTTTAATGCCGGCGAATATATTTTGCATTAGTATAACACTAATCAATATAATTTACATGGTTAATTACTTAATGGCATTATATTTAACCAACAAACTTTGAAAAAGCCAAATCAAATGATTTTGTCCATCATTTGGTTGACAGACGGGCATTTCCAAATTGCCTAAAAATAGTGCTGGACAATTGGAATATTGTCAAACATTCATGCATTAATCCAATAATGCCTAGATTTGAGTTTTTTCCTCAAAATATAATCGTTTAAAAATTTTCTGGTATTTTATTTACAAATTTGTAAACGTTAAAATTAGAATTTTTAGATTTTATTTTAAAAGAAACCATAATTAGTTTTCGCAATCAACCTAAAATTACCGGAAAAATCTTTATCTGAGAAAAAAATTGTTAAAAATCAACTTATTGTTGGATTAAAGAAGGGTCGAGCCTACAATAAAATTCTTCTAATTGTCAATGGTTTATTGAAGGTGTTTTACGTTTATAAATACGATTTCCCTGAATTTTGCCTAAAATTGTTTAATAAACCTAAAATAAGTTTTTATAAATACAGCCGTAATTCTTTTAACGGTTTCTAAATAGTTAAATAAATTAGATGTAAATTCTTTTCCAGTCATTATCGGGGGAATTTAAATAAAAATGTTTAATCTCATTTGGTTTTAGAGATAAAATGCGGCATGTTTTCTGTTGCACCGCTTGTATAGTTAAACGTTTAACAAAATAATTTCTATTATATGTATGTTTCAACAAATAAAATAAAACTCTCTCGTAACTCTTTCTCATCTAAACATAAATCGATTACTAAATGTTTGCACATAAATCCTCAGCGGGATACAATTATTTCAATCAATATTTACACACATAAAATCAACAATCAAGTAAAAATCCAATTAACTCCATAAAAGCCAATGTCAAAGTTTTAGTTTTAAACTAAGAAAATGCAGCAGCAGCACTATAAACAGTGGTAGTGTTTAAAATAAAACTCATGTTGTTGCAACATAATTTCTATAGTATGTGGTACTTTTAGTTTATTTTTTATTACATTTTAAAGGAAAAATTTGTTATTGATCTGTAAGACTTAACAGTTACCAAGAATTGATCATGGCTAACACTCCGGTGAGTGTGTGCAAGCAGCTAACAAGCAAGTAGGCAGACAGGCAGAGCGTTAAGTATATGGGTTAATGCTGTGGCTGAGTGCAACAGTTTCATGTTGCTGTGTCTAGTAGACTTCGTAGATGTGGTGTTTAAGTTGCTGTTGCTGCTGTTTTTTTGCCACTGTGCGATTAATAAAGACTTTATCTATTAGTAGTAATCACTAAAGTCCTTAATGTGCAGCAGAAAAACTTGTGGCAAATGTTGTGTCCACAAACGCATTCACATGTCGACCAAGTTAACATACACTTACACTTGATAAAATGAATTGTCAATTGATAGTGCAAAAAATGGTACTGATGGCGATGATGATGCTGCTGCTGATGGCAACAACAAAGATTTCAGCTTAGAATGGGAATGTAAGGAGTGTCTTGAAAAAATTCTACCATTTTTTTTTCTTCTAAATTAGTTAACGATTAGTAGAAAGCGTTCGAAATAAATATATGGCAATTTTACCGAGAATAATATACCGCATTGTAAATAAAAAAATTTAAAATTTTAATTGCTAACTATGCCGTTCTATAACATAAACAATTACAAATGCTTGAAGACATTCTGAAAGATTCTTAGACTTCAATTTTTATTTTACACCTCTAAGTTCAACAGCCTTTATAAGATATTATTTCTTTTTAATTCTTTATGTCAGCCATTTTAAAAAGATCTTTTTATTTAAGTTATTTTATAAAATCAAACATTGACTAATTAAATTGTTCTCTAGAGACCATTTGTTGTACAAAATCAAATGATATTAATTACAAACTCTTATACACTCAGACGCTTACATACATACATACATAAATTATGTTGCTTTTGGAAGTCCAGTTTTCTAAAGACTCACCAGCAATAAAATGGAATTTTAACAAGATTTCTTGATAAAGTGTTGCCACTTTGTGACAATTATAAGTGGTTAAAATTAGCTGTTCTTGACCATATGTGGTAAAAAGTTTAGCATTTAACGATAACTACAACAATAAAGAATAGTATATTTTTTATAAAATGAATAATTTAGGAAAATATGTTGTAAAAAGTTGTATAATATTGATTTAGAAATGATTTACGAATAGTTTATACAGTTATTTGTAATTAAAATCATATGTTATACATATATTACTGGATTCTTGGGAAAAGTTAAGGATGACTAGAGAAGTGTTTCCCAATTTACTGTAAGAACTGTAAATCTGGCAAGCACTTGAACTTTATCATTTAAGCCCATCAAATAAAATAATAAATATTTATAATTAAAACAAAAAAGCTCTAATAAAAATGAAACCCCAAAAATTTATACAAAGTTACAAATGCGATTGTTTTCAACCATATAACTATTGTAATTGTTCGCATAAAATTATCTCTAGTGATATATTAATAGAAAATGTTAACGATATTGCAGAATCTTTAGTCGAGGTAAGGAATACACTTAAAATTACCCATGGAAAGCATAATATATAAGAATACTTTCTTCCAACGTAAAGGTGATGAATCTTTGTGGTATATATTTGGTAAAAGCTAAAGCCTCCAGAGATGTCATCATTTATTATTTTTTACATTTTGAAGAAATAATCCATCGCATTGATTCCATACCGAAAAAACGTTTATGCAAAGAAGATCTTATACATGATCTGAGTCGTAAATGTTCCATGGATCGGATAGATGCACAAATGGCTTGTTCTATTATAAAAAGGGCATTTAAAGCTTTTTATCATGGCACCGATATGGGGGGAGTACCGAATCATTTGTTAAGCGATAAACTAACACATTCCTCAGAATGTCTGTGGGTGCATGCGGCAAAACGTACAGCTCAGATTTACGCTGCCTATGAGGGCTTATTTTATGCGTGTCAAAAAGATTTGGAATGTAAAATAAAATTAATTTATAAACAATTGTATGATCGCATAACGAACAGAAATCAACCAGATGATGAACCAGAATGTACTTGTATGAAATGTCTCAAAAGAATTGCCAAAGAAAGTCTAAAGCCAGGTAAAGTTACTACAGGAATGCATGATGTCAAGGACCCTTATGAAGCGATGTATATAAAAGAACAGGAAGAGGATATAGAAAAGCAAAGAAATGAAAACTGTGCTGTTATGAATGAAACCTTGGAAAATGAAGAAAAACAGTGCTGCTCTTGTCCTTCCCTAAACATAACGGCAAAAGATTATGCTTATAGAGAAATTGCCGAGTCTACTTATACTGGATCAAGTCAAGGGCCTTTTGATTGTCGTTGGATTTCCATTAGTAAGGAGGAGTTTGAGGCTGACGAAGGCGTAGTGAATGTAAAATTACCAAAGGAATTTCCTTGTCCTCCATGCCATACAGATGAGGAATGTGAAACAGAATGCGAATGTTCTTGTGAGGATTGCACCTGTAAATCAGATGATGACATTGTTTGTGGTGAATCTTATGGTGAAAATGGGGAAGATATAGAAAAAGAATTTTCGAGTGAAGAAACTGCTAAATTATCCGAAAATTATACTAATTCTGAATCTATTACTGCAGATTTAAGTGTCTGTACGCAATGAGTGGCAATGAAGTTTGTGGCATCATGAATTTGTAAAATATTATATTTTAGACAGTTAAATTAGGTTTTATTTCTATACACTAATGTATTTAAAGAATTTGCAATTCTAATCTAAATTATGAGTAAAATCATTTAATAATGTGCATTCGTTTAAAAAGTGTACTTCTAAAAAAAGGTTCAGATGTACAATCACAAAACCATAATCACAAAACTATTAGCTGCTATTCCATACATTTATAATTAGATAGGAATCTCTATACAATTTTTTCTGAAAAAAATCTAAAAAATTAAGAAAATTTCATTACAATTTTGATTCAAATTGCATCCATTGTTCTACTGGTGTCACTATCTAAACACCTTCATTTAGTAATTGTACGTCATTTCCTGCTAATTCGATCATTTTATCATGTCTCAGAAATTACAATTGACCTTTTAAACAAATAAACTCCGAGACCATGGTAATAAATCTCAAAGCTAAAAAGAAAAAGTAATCTACAAGAATCTTTAACGATTCCATACACAAACACACTTACAAACAGTCACACTAAAAACTTTATTTCCTTTGTACCGGGCAGAGCAAGAACGAACCAGTAGACTAAATGCATCTCGTAAAAATAAAAGAGGAAAAACGAATAAAAAGAACTTAAAACAAAACTTAAAAGGCCATCTAAAAATGTTGTAGAGCATGTCTACTTTAAGCTTAAACATTAAATGAAAATCTGAAAATCACTGATCACAGTTTATTTAAAAGTTTAGTTAGTCGTTGTTGCAGTTGTAATCGTAGTAAAATGAAGAAGTGCAAGTTGTTGAAATCCTTTGCCAATAGAGAGAACAATCCAAACAAATAGGAAAAAACAGTTTAAAATTTTTTTCGCTGTAGTTGATTTAACTTTAAAACTATTACTTAACATCAATTCGTATGGCCTTCTGGAATTACAAACAACTTCATCGCCAACACCACACCAGACAATGACAATGACGACAACGAAGTGCCGCCAACCAACTATTCAGCCATGCTACAGCAAACGGAGCAGCATTAACATGAGCATCATCTAGCCACTCAGCCTGGCAACTTACTTGACTACTAGTTAGTCAAGGGAGTAGTACAAGTATGTTTAGTTTATTTCCATTCTAATAGTTTCACTATTAACCATAAGCTAAACAAACTATCGAGTGGATACAAACCATTCAAGCAATCTTTTTTATTTCTTTCTTGCTTTCCAACAAACTCAAATGATCTTCTTAACTTATCCAAGGTTGGTTAGTTGGCTGGCTGGCTGACTAACTGGATGGGTTTGGTTGGATTGATTCTTTCCGGTAAACATTTTGCGCGAAAAACGTGAGCAAAGCAATTAATTAGTCGTACACAAAAACCCTTTTTTTCTGTTTCTTGTTGGCTTTTTTGTTTCGTTTTTCTCTTTTTGTATTTTTTGCAGTTGGTCTTTGTGGAAAAATTTTAATTGGCAATTGTTGTGCGCTTTGTATGGTCATAAAAATTCCTACACTTCTTTTTCTGGCATTTTAAGTTTCCCCAAACATCACCATCATCGTCATCACAACTACTAATACGAACATCACCATTACAATAAAAGCAGTCAAGCAGTAGTGGTAGTGTCAGGCTACTGCACAGACTGACATACGGTTAAGTCACACATAAACGAGGTTTAATTTATCAGTTTGCAAAGTGACGAGCAAATCGATGATGGTTTGATGGTTTTTTACATTAAACATAAATATTTTTTCCACAATTAGTTTTGTTCGACAAAATAGTGCTCATAATTAGATTTCGATCTATTTTGGGATGTAAAAGGGGACACGAATTAAAAATTGTAAAATTACTCGTTTTAAAGAATTACAATTACTATGTTCTAAGCGCTTTTATTATATGCGTACTTATGAAAATTCCGACCAACAGGAAGATATTTCGAAAATTCTTGTAAGGGCCTCGAAGAATCATTTAAATGAGAAATTGAAAATTGAATATTTCAACAACTTAACAAATCACCCACTTACATATATTGACAAAGCACTAACTGAATGAAATTGAGCTTTCTGATAAAATGTAGTAAGAAGAAATCTATTGAATCGAACTTCTTTACTCTTGACTTGACTACTTTAGACTTTGCCAATGAGGGCTGGACAAACAAACAGCTGAACAGAACGCAGATGCACATTTTATATTATGTGAGTGTGTGTGTGTGTGCGGATGTATATTGTATTTGGGCATTGAAGTTGGTTAAATTTTCATTTGAAATACATGTTGTTGTATCTTAAAGATTTGTAAGGACGCACAGTGGTATAGGAAAAAAAAAAGAGGGAAATAATTCGGTAACTTCTAAACGGTTAATCCGATTTTAATGAAATTTGGTGTGCACAAAGAGGAGGTGTTGTCGAGTTTAGGTTTTGAATTTGGACCTTATAGGCCAACCAGGGGCCCGGCGGGGGGTCATCAAATTAGGACACCTCGGCTATGTTAAATTTTTAAAACGATCCTATTTCTTCATTTGAGTTCCGATTTAAAAAAAATTTCGTATATAGAATCTCCTCATCGAGCACTATAAAAAATGTTGTCATAGCAGTAAATTATCTCTTATAGTTTAGGAGATATTCGCATTTGAAAATTAAAATTTTAAAATTTTTACCGTCCTTACTTTAGTTTTTTTTGATAATAGCAGGTCCAAATATTCCCGATTTTCGCCATTTTGTTTTATTCGCTTAACAACAAGTTTATATATCAAGCAGTGAAAGAATTATGTAAAAATCATGACTGAGTCCAAAGTTATAGGCATTTTAATTTAAAAAATTAAAAAAAGGCGATTTTTTGTCATTTTTTTGGGAAAAAAGTATCTTTTTCTTTTTAAGTTATCTAAAAAGTTTCTAAGAAGATGTATATAGAATTTATACTTTTTGGAAAGCTGACTTTACATAAAGTACGATAAATGAAACAAAACCTAAAAATTTTTGATACCGAGGGGACCAGGTCCATGCAAAAAAACCCTATTTTTTATGGAAAATTAAATTTTGAGCAAAAATTCTCAAATCGCATAGTCGATATCAAATTATAGTGACCTGTTTTATATGACCCAATATGTTCTTAATCATTTTGTAACGGGTTTCGATAACCCCGCCCCTGGTATGGATATAATAGGCAAAAAACTAAAAAATCCCATTTTTGGGATTTTTTAAAACTTTTTTGGGAATTCCGGGATTTCTAATAAGAAAATTCGAAATTTTGATTTAATTTTGGATTTTAAGTAAAAAAATCTACCTAACTGTAAAATTTCATCAAAAAATATTCATAAATAAAATTTTTATTGCAATTTGAAAAATTTGTATCTTCGCAAAAACTGAATAAAAAACATTTTTTAATTTTTTTTAAAAAAAGTATTCCGCGAATTTTTTAATTTTCAAAAATTATATACAGTTTTGAAAAATAGACAAAATTACCTTTCCATTGATATATAACATGCCTACCTAATGTTTTTTAAGTGACAAATTAATTAGGGAAAACTCAACATCTTTTAGAAAATTTGCCTAGCACTATTATTTTCATCCATAAGGTTAACTCTTAAATTTGTTACATATATGGATGAAAATAATAGTGCTAGGTAAATTTTCTAAAAGATGTTGAGTTTTCCCTAATTAATTTGTCACTTAAAAAACATTAGGTAGGCATGTTATATATCAATGGAAAGGTAATTTTGTCTATTTTTCAAAACTGTATATAATTTTTGAAAATTAAAAAATTCGCGGAATACTTTTTTTAAAAAAAATTAAAAAATGTTTTTTATTCAGTTTTTGCGAAGATACAAATTTTTCAAATTGCAATAAAAATTTTATTTATGAATATTTTTTGATGAAATTTTACAGTTAGGTAGATTTTTTTACTCAAAATCCAAAATTAAATAAAAATTTCGAATTTTCTTATTAGAAATCCCGGAATTCCCAAAAAAGTTTTAAAAAATCCCAAAAATGGGATTTTTTGGTTTTTTGCCTATTATATCCATACCAGGGGCGGGGTTATCGAAACCCGTTACAAAATGATTAAGAACTTATTGGGTCATATAAAACAGGTCACTATAATTTGATATCGACTATGCGATTTGAGAATTTTTGCTCAAAATTTAATTTTCCATAAAAAATAGGGTTTTTTTGGATGGACCTGGTCCCCTCGGTATCAAAAATTTTTAGGTTTTGTTTCATTTATCGTATTTTATGTAAAGTCAGCTTTCCAAAAAGTATAAATTCTATATACATCTTCTTAGAAACTTTTTAGATAACTTAAAAAGAAAAAGATACTTTTTTCCCAAAAAAATGACAAAAAATCGCCTTTTTTAATTTTTTAAATTTAAATGCCTATAACTTTGGACTCAGTCATGATTTTTACATAATTCTTTCACTGCTTGGTATATAAACTTGTTGTTAAGCAAATAAAAAAAATGGCGAAAATCGGAAATATTTGGACCTGCTATTATCAAAAAAACTAAAGTAAGGACGGTAAAAATTTTAAAATTTTAATATTCAAATGCGAATATCTCCTAAACTATAAGAGATAATTTACTGCTACGACGACATTTTTTATAGTGCTCGATGAGGAGATTCTATATACGAAATTTTTTTTAAATCGGAACTCAAATGAAGAAATAGGATCGTTTTAAAAATTTAACATAGCCGAGGTGTCCTAATTTGAGGACCCCCCGCCGGGCCCCTGGTTGGCCTATAAGGTCCAAATTCAAAACCTAAACTCGACAACACCTCCTCTTTGTGCATACCAAATTTCATTAAAATCGGATTAACCGTTTAGAAGTTACCGAATTATTTCCCTCTTTTTTTTTTCCTATACCACTGTGGGACGTTTAGTTTAGTTGTACGAGAAACAAAAACTACTGCTACTACGACTGATTAAACATATTAAATGTTGTAGACAATTTCGTTGAAGAGATGAATGATTTGATGTGTTTTTGAATTAATGTAAATGCTTAATTGTTGTTACTGAATGTTTATTATTGTGGTTGTTGTCATCGACGACGTTGTTATTGCTGTTCTCTTAAATTAATGGTCAAATGGTGAATTAAATTAAAATTAAATGAAAATAAGAATAAAAAGAGGTTATATTTTTAAGTAGATCAGTAATTTGGGTGGGCAATATATACCCAAAATGGATACTTTTTTTAAATTTCGAGAAGAGGGGATCAGATTAGTGTTATTTCCAGCATTGACGAGTTCGCAAATTTTGCACTGGCATCTGAACAAATACATATAAAAATTCGTATATCGGGGAACTTAATTAAATGTTATACATGTACAGAACTATACTGCCTTTAGACTGTCCCGTGGACAACTTTTTTG